ACGCGCACACACACACACGCACACACACACACGCACACACACACGAACACACACTCTCGTAATAATCAAACCCACGTCCCCTGTATATGATAGCAAAGCTCCTAACCTCTACACCACATATAACCAGCCTGACACACACACAATGAATAATGTACAAAAGAGTTGAACATGACCTAAAACATGAACCCTCCACCAAAACCCCCTCATTACCAGAGGGCCGGCCGAGACTGGAGCCACCACACACACACACACACACACACACACACACACACACACACACACACACACACACACACACACACACACAATAAATAATGTATAAAAGAGTTGAACACGACCTAAAACATGAACACTCCACCAAAACCCCCTCATTACCAGAGGGCCGGCCGAGACAAGCATCACCACATGGCCGCACTGAGGAATAACCACACACGAGACAGATGGCTCTTTCTCTCTGTGAGTGCCCGGTTATTTCCCTTGTTCTGCCAGATTGGATTTCAGTACTTATTGCCGGGTTTGAGGTGGGGGGTTACGGGTTTTTTGTGGGGGTTTTTTTTTTTTTTGTTTTTTTTTGTAAATGCTTTACGGCGCTCGCAACTGCATAAGGTCATATATGAGCGCGCGGGACACACCAAACATTTTCAGTTGATAGAAAATTTTGAATTTTGCTAGGGTGGCGGCCGAAGCCTACTCTTGTCGATTTTGGACCACCAAGGGATCTTTAACGTGCGCAACTTGCACACGAGATTTCCGAGATTTTTCGCCCTTGTCCGAGAAGGCTAGGAGTCGATTTTTCCTACCTGAAGATCAGGAGTGTGGCAGAAAGGCAGCAGTAAAAAGCAGCCAAGGAGAAGCAGTAGAAAGGCTGCAGAAAGAGTCAGGAGCCCAGAGGTGGGAGCAAAGGAGGTGAGGGGGTAGGGGCAGAAAGCGAAGACGAAATCAGACGACAGAACATTGTTAGAGAGCAGGAAAGGAGGTGAAAGGCATATTCTTAACTTTCTTTATAGTCATGGTTGTTGTCCTTGTTCTACAAAGCATGTTCTTAACTTTCTGTTTCTTCGTGGCTGTATTCCTCGTTTTACGAGATTGTATTTCAGAACTCATTGCTGTTATATAGCAGTGGTTGATTCTGGAGAAAGGTTTGGGGTATTTTGAGGGGGAGAGAGAGAGAGAGAGAGAGAGAGAGAGAGGGGGGGGGGGGGGGGGGGGAGTGGTGGCAGATGGTTATTCTTAACCATCTATTTGGTAATGGTTGTTTCCCTTGTTCTATGAGATTATGTTTCAGAACTTATTGCAGTAAGAGTGCTCTGGTTTATTCAGGGCCGGGGAAAGGGGAAGGTGGGGGATGGTTATTTGGGAATTTGTAAGGAGGGGTAGTTTAGGGTATGTTCTTAGGCCGCGGCTATTCGGACTCAAACTCCAATGAGCGTGCGCATTACTGTCACCTCCTTGGTGCGCAATCACTAGGTGTACCGCGTGTGAAGCAGACAAGCTATTCGTCCTTGGCCTTCCTCGGTTTCTACGATCTGGCCAAGGAACATACAACAAATGGCGCCGACCGTGGTGACCCAGCGCGAACTGTGGTCTTTTCTTTACAAAGGATAATATAATAGTAGGGCCGGGCAGTGGGCAACGGTATGGGAGGGAATATAGATCTATATGCAAAATAAAATGGATGAAGGGGGGGGGCAAGGGAAGAGAGAGAGAGAGAGAGAGAGAGAGAGAGAGAGAGAGAGGGGGGGTGGGGCTGTCTTATAAGGACTGGTTATGAATTTTATGTTTTGATCCCTTTGTATTTGTAGTCGTGAAACGCAATGTAATAGCCTACCACTATACTAACTACCAGTAGTTTAAAGCCGAATAGCAAAGGGAGAATATTCGGACTCGAGTCTACACCTCGCCGGAGATGAAAAAAAGTACGGTACAACCGGTGATTTCGCACGCGCGCTGGAATTTGAGTCCGAATAGCCTCCAGGGGCTGTTCGAACTCGAGTCCGAATAGCCACTTGGATATTCTTAACCTTCTGTTTGGTCGTGTGTCTCTTGTTCTGCGAGATTGTGTTCTGTACTTATTGCTGTTACGTAGTTCTGGTTTATTCTGGGGAGAGAGGGTAGGTGGTGGTTGGTGAAAGGAATCATATGTGAGGCAGCGTGGTGGAATCAGGCTCTCGTCAAAATAATCAAATTGAAGAAACTTGCATTTTTCCACAGGTTTGTGAATTTTTATCAA